GGGGACTGCGACCTTTTGTCCCCAGTGCCACCACTCGCCCTTTGCCCGCGCGTCCCCAGCGCTGGCCCCAAAGCCCGGGATGTCCCCAATGTCCCCTCCCCCGCCGGGGGGTCGAGGGTCAGCGACATCGCAGGCGACAACCTTCGCCCCGCGGGGCCCCCTCGGCCCCAAAGCCCGGTGCCACCGTCCCCTGCCCGCCCTTGGGGACACGGGGACAGCTCCGGGAGGGGTGGGGGACGGGGCCACCCCCTCCCCCGCGCTGGCCCTCGGCCCCGCCGTGTTTGCCCAGACGGGGGCGGGGGCTGCGGGGGGATAAAAACGGGGCCGGGGGAGGGGGGACCCCCAAAGCGGCACCAGCACCTGCCCAGGTGAGCGGGAGGGGGGGTTTGGGATGGAATTTGGGATTTGGGATGGGATTGGGGTGTGGGATTGGGGTGTGGGGCAGGGATTGGGGTGTGGGGCAGAGATTGGGGTGTGGGGATGGGATTGGGGTGTGGGATTGGAATTTGGGATTTGGGATTGGAATTTGGGATTTGGGATGGGATTGCGGCGTGGGATGGGATTGGGATGTAGGGCAGGGATTGGGGTGTGGGGCAGAGATAGGGATTTGGAATGGGATTGGGGTGTGAAATCGGATTGGTGTGTGGGGCAGGGATTTGGGGCAGGGATTGGGGTGTGGGGCAGGGATTGGGGTGTGATTTGGGATGGGATTTGGGGTGGCATCTGGGGTGGGATTTGGGATGGGATTTGGGGCTGCATTTGGGGTGTGATTTGGGGTGGGATTTGGGGATGGCATTTTGGGATGGCATTTGGGATGGCATTTGGGATTTGGGATGGGATCTGGGGTAGATTTGGGGTGGGATTTGGGGTAGATTTGGGATAGCATTTGGATGGGATTTGGGATGGGATTTGGGGTGGGATGTGGGGTAGATTTGGGATGGGATGTGGGTTGGCATTTGGGATGGGATTGGAAGTTCCTGTGGCACAGGGATGGGCTGGGATCCATTAGATCGGCCGGACCGGGTCAGAATCCCCCCATCCCCCCTCCCCAAACCTCACCCCGCTGTCCCCCCC